ACACACATGAATTTGGATGTAATGGATACTGAAAACTTGAGGAAGTTTTCTACCCCCAGTTGCCTCACTGTCCACAGTATCAATTGTGAATAATGAGGGAAATTCATCTGGAGGAAGAAAGCAGAACTAGACAATTACTTAACAAGAAAATTGCTATAAAATAGGACTAAGCAAGAAGAACATGGGGAGGCTACATATAATTGGGCAGGTTTAATAGTAAAATCAGCTGTATGTTCTTTAAACCTACAATTTTCTTGTCTTCAAAGCATCTCCATGATTGCTCCTTTTAGACAGCTCAGACAATGGAAGGAAGAAAATGTAAAAATATAGACTTTTGTGGATTCTCCCAGAAGGGAAAGATACTCAGTAGGAGAATATGGAGTTTCTCTTTTATTTTAGAAAATACTTATTTTCTAAACATCATTGAAAGTGGGGTTGGATTAGATTTAAGAATTTGTCACAAGATGTGTTAGGTTTAGAAATTATTGCTTATAAAATAGAATCTAGTCACAGCTTTTTCTCTAGATAAAACTGATGGGAAAATACTCAAGCCCAATCAACACTTTTCTCAGAATAACCAAAGTGGAGAATATTTAATTTTACAGATGGCCGTGAGCACAAACCAGTATAGTCTATATATATTCTTCCAGTTCTGTGACTTGAATCCATAGAAGACATGGTCTGTAGCCAATTTCCTTCTTTCTTTTTTTTTTTTTAGTTCAAAAATAGATATAGACAAACCTATAGATATATGACAAAGAAAGGAGACTTAGCTGTGGTTTTCTACTTTATAAAAGACCAAAGCTTGATCAACAGTGATGGGTGATGTAGATTTTATCAAATGGTAGACTTTGTCATTCCAACTGTGACTGATACTGTATCTTTCTTATCCTGATGGAAACCTTAATATGCCCATTTCTGATATGAGCTTGAACTGGAAGAAGAAACTAATTTGTTAAAGGTCACATGGTAATGGAGGAATATGTATAGACCAGATTCTAATTTCCAAGCTTTTTCTATTAAACCTAGAAGACTAAGAAAATATTTGACATAAAACTACAATTAAGTGAACTCCTAAGAGATTATCTACCATGACGTATGAAAAGTGAATATCTGGCCCCTAAAGTATTTCAAGAGGTAACTTAGGCAAGGCTCAAATGGATTTGATACCTCATTTCGAATTGGGCCATGAGTAAGAAATGAGAATTACTCAGTGATCGCAACACCTGAAACCATCAGAATCACCATAATTTGATCCTAACAGAAACAACATATTCAAGCCATTGAAAACATGCTTAAAATTTAACATGTTCAGTTTCTGTGGGTACATGCACATAGCCATGAGTTTTTCCCAGATGCTATTATTATCAAGAGATTGAGACTTTTTAAACCAGAAACAAAACTGAACCTCTTATGTATGATATTTCTGAAAATGTGCTAGCTTTTCTAAAGAAAGCAGTAACATACATACACTACTGATTTCTAACAGATTTCCACACCCCTGCCTTTGTAACCCAGACTGGTACTATTACCATTGTATGTAGTGAGTAAGCACTAGGATCTCTTTCAACCTTTATGCTAGAAAGCAGAACAGATGTGAAATAGAGATAGTTTGGCCTGTCAAGTCATTTTAGAACAGTGGTTCTCACCCCCCCCCACCTTCCTCCCTTCTCTCCTTCTCTCCCTCCCTCCCTTCCTCTCTCTCTCTTCTTTTTCTTTATTTTAATTAATTGATTTATTTACTTTATATCCCAATAGCAAGTACCCCCTCATGCAAATCCTCCCCCCATTATGCCTTCTCCTCTGAGAAGGGAGAGCCCTCCCCATGTATCATCAACACTCCCCTGCACATCAAATTAATGCAGGACTAGGTGTATCCTCTCCCAGTGATATCAGACAAGGTGGCCCAGTTAGGGGAACAGGATTCAAAGGCAGGCAGGCAGGCAACAGATACAGGGATAGCCCCCTCTCCAGTTATTGGAGGACCTGCATAAAGATCAAGCTGCACATCTGCTACATATGTGCATGGGCCTAGGTCCAGGCTATGCTTGCTCTTTGATTGGTGGTTCAGTCTCTGTGAGCTCCTAAGTGTCCAGGTTGTTGATTCAGTTGGTCTTCCTTTAGACTCTCTGTCCTCTTCAAGTATTCCAATCCTTACCCCAACTCTTCCATAATACTCCCTGAGCTCCATCTAATGTTTGATTGTGAGTCTCTGTATCTCTTTCCATTGGCAGCTATATGGAGACTCTCAGAGGACAGTTAGCCTAGGATCCTGTCTAGAAGCATAACAGAGTATCATTTAATATGTCAGAGATTGGTGCCCATGGAATGAGTTCAATTTGGACCAGTCATTGGTTGGCCATTCCATCTGTCTCGCTTCTACCTTTGTCCCTGCATATCTTGTAGGCAGGACACATTTTGGGTTGAAAGTTCTGTTGGTGGGTTGCTGTCCTTATCCCTCCTCTGAAAGTCTTGCCTGGCTACAGGAAGTAGCTAATTTAGGATCCATATCTGGTACTGATAGGAGTCTCATCTATATTCACCCCATAGATACCTTGCTTCCCCCATCCTAAGTCTCTAGCATGTCCTAGAGATTGCCCTCCACCACCATCAAATTCTGTTCTTTCTCCTCAGCACACCATACACTTGATATACACTTGATTTCCCTGCCTCTCATCCTCATCCCCTCTCCCACACAGATCCCTCCCTCCAACCACCTTCAATATCTATTTTATCTCCCTATATGAGAGAGATTCAACTATCTTCCCTTGAGCCCTCCTTTTTATTTGGCTCATTTGGTTCTGTTGATTATTGTGTGGCTATACTGTAATTTATGACTAATATCCCCTTAAAACGGAGTATATAACATTCATATTCTTTTGCATATGAGATTACCTCACGTAGGATGATATTTTTTAGTTGTATCCATTTGCTAGCAAAATTCATGATATCCTTGTTTTTAATAGCTGAATAGTATCCGATTGTGTAATTGAACCACAGGGTTTTTGTTGTTTTTTTGTTTTTTGTTTTGTTTTTAAATCTATTCTTCAGTTTAGGAACATCTAGGTTATTTCTGGCTCTTATGAATAAAGCTGCCAGGAACATAGTTAAGCAAGTGTCTTTGTGGGATCATAGAACATGTTTTGGGTATATGCCAGGGAGTGGTATAACTGAGTCTTGAGGCAGAACTATTCCCAATTTTCTGGGAAACTGATAAGTTGATTTCCAGAGTGCTTGTACAAGTTTGCATGTCCAGTAGATACGGAGAAGTGTTCCCTTTGTGTTACATTCTTGCAATCATGTGCTGTCTCTTGAATTTTTGATCATAGCCATTCTGATGGGTATAATGTAGAACCTCAGAGTTGCTTTGATTTTTATTTCCCTGATGACTAAGAATGTTGAACATTTCTTTAAGTTAAGTTGAGATCTGTTAAACATTTCTCAAACATTAGCTATTCCTCTATTGAGAATTCTCTGTTTAGCTCTGTACCCCATTTTAATTTTTTTTTGGTTTGTAGGTGCCTAACTTCTTGAATTATTTATATATTTTGGATATTAGACATCTGTCAGAAAAATGGTTGATAAAGAGCTTTTCCCAATCTGTAGGCTGTCATCTTGTCCTATTGATGGTGTCCTTTGACATATAGAAGAGTTTTAGTTTCATGAGATCCCATATATCAATTGTTGATATTAGTGCCTGAACCACTGGTGTTTTGTTCAAGATGTTGTCTCTTGTATCAATGAGTTCAAGGCTATTCCCCAACATCTGCTCTAGTAGCTTTAGTGTAGTTTCATTATTTCTCTATTTAGATGGTCTGTATATTGGTAGGAGGATGGTGTTACAGTCCCCCACTATTATGTGTGGGGTTCTGTGTACGACTTATGTTTCTTTTATGAATATGGCTGCCCTTGCATTTGGGCATATATCTTTAGAATTGAGAAGACATCTGCACAGGCCCTTCTCTGTTGAGGAGTCGGGTATAGTTCTCATAGGTCTGATTTGATAGGTTTCTGGCCTTTTTACCTCACAGGTTTTAATATACTTTCTTTGTTTTCAACACTTAGTGTTTTGTTTATTGTGTGACAAGAGGATTTTATTTTATTTTCCAGCCTACTTGGTGTTCAGTAAGCTTTTTGTGCATCTATAGGTATCTCTTTCTTTAGGATAGGGAAATTTTCTTCTATGATTTTATTGAAGATGTTTTCTGGCTCTTAGAGCTGAGAATCTCCTTCTTCTTCTATTTCTATAATTCTTAGGTTTGGTATTTTCATAGTGTCCCAGATGTCTCAGATATTTTGTGTTAGAAACATTTTCCCCTCAGCATTTTCTTTGGTAGATGTATCAATTTCTCCTCTCATATCTTCTATGCCTGAGATTCTCTCTTCCACCTTGTATTCTGTTGGTGATGCTTATGTCTGTAGTTCTTGTTCTTTTTGCTAGGTTTTCTACCTCCAAGGTTGCCTCAGCGTGTGTGTGTGTGTGTGTGTGTGTGTGTTGTTTTTGTCTTGTTTCTATTTTCAGATCTTGGATAGTTTTACTCACAGCCTTTGCCTGTTTGATTTCATTTTCCTGTACTTCTTTATATTTATTTGCTTCCTGTATTAATGACTATATCTACTTGAATGTATTTTCCTGTACTTTTTAAAAAGGATTTACTAATCCCTTAAAAAGATCTCCTTAATCTTTAAATATTATAAGATTGAATTTGTAATCATTTTCTTGTGCTTCAATTTTGTTAGGATATCCAAGATTTGTTTCAGCATGGTTGTTGGGCTCTGGAAGTACCACATTGCCCTTGCTCTTGTTGATTGTGTTCTCACACTGTCCTGTAGGCATCTGTTTTTCTCTGCTGTTGGCTGGATGATCCTGATGACAGCAGGACTTTTTGGGAAGGCAGGGTGAGTTGTGGACCAGACAGTAAAAGTCAGGGGACCTTACTCTGCTAACCAAGCCATAGGTGGACCAAACTGGCAAGGGATTGGTGGGGCAATGTTCCAAGAAAAATATGGAGTACTTCATGAGTTGGCCTTTCATCCTTGCACAGGGACACTACTAATCTGTTCTGTATCATTTCAATTTTGCTATATGTACTGCTGAAGGAACCACAGTTCTAAAGCTTTCTAATGCTGATTTTTTTTTTAGATATAGTTCTTCATTTCATGGTGACCTCAACCATAAAATTATTTTTGTTGCTACTTCATGACTGTAAATCTGCTACTGTTTTGAATCATAATGTAAACATATGATATGCAGAATATGTGATATGTGGCCCTGTGAAAGGCTGTGAGTACAACAATCCCATGGGAAGACAGAGAATTTCTTAGAAATATTTTTTTTTTTAACCAGGAATATAGTTTCTAGTTTATAGTAATGATACTGGTACCAGGCTCTGTGGGGTTCTTGATTGAAAGAGAAAAAGCACAAAATCACAAATAAAAAAAATTAAGCAAGTGTTGTATGAAGTGAAGCGTAAACTTCATTAGCCTCATAATAATCTGCCTTGGATTGGAACTATATAGCTTAGCGTTGGGGAATTTGCTCAGCCCTGGCAAAGTTTTTGGTTCAATTCCCAGAACCATAAACTCGTGTATACACAGAAGTGTAAAATATTCTCATATATGTATATATGTTTATTTGGTGTGGGTTTGGTGGTTGTGATGGAGATGATGGGGTAAATGTCGTTGGCTAAAGTTTCTGTCCATTACTTTTACTAGGTTGTGTAATGATAGCCATTGTCAGCATAGATAAAATATAAACACTGAAGAAAGGCAATTCATAATAAACCACGGTACCAATGCCTTACAGTAGTAAATGGCAGCATCTTTTGACATAGGGGATTCTAATGTAATGGCAATGTTAAGAATAGACAGTTGTTTCCTGGTGCTTAACCATTGCTTGTAAATGACCAGAGAACACAAACTAAAACACAGATGTCCTTTTTTTGTCCCAAGACATTGAGAGAATTTTCCCAAAGTTTAAACATATTTGTATTTTCAGTTATGTAAATCCAAATATGAAAGCATTCAATAGGCTTTTTGGTGTCATACCTCCCATCTATGTGGAAAGAAAACACCATCTTTGTGGGAAGTAAACGTTGCTAATCAAGTCCAATATTATCTTGAGAAAGGAAGACCAGTGATAACATTTATTCAACCGGAATTGTTATACTAAAAAAGATAATATCCACTTTACTACAAATTAATTTTTACTTAAACCAGGACTTTCCAACAAAAACATTGTTAGCCATTCATGGTCAGAATTCTGCTCCTTGAGTTAAATTATGTTACATACTAAAAGCCATCAGACCCCTGTTTTGTAGCAAACAAAGCAGTGGATATTACTTGTTAGAATCCTTTAAAGAAGGGCTTCAGGCTAGCCCTTTTCCCTCCTTCTAATTCTGGGCAAAGATCATTTTTGTTTCAAGGATGGATTTTTAAGTATTCTCCAAATATTCCATTAGTGTATCCTTTCTCACATGATACCTTTGTACTTGGCATATGAATAAGGAAATTTAATGGCCTAACTCATTTTTCATCCAAACAGGCCATAGAGATTTGATGCACTCCTTTCTTTCTACAACATGGCTCTAGATACACTTCAAAACAAATGTCATTTTACTGTTCTCAACATTGCCCATCTTAAGTTTGCTCCCCACCACCCAACACAAAGAACTTTATGAGTCAAAGGTGACAGTCTTGGTCTTATCTCCTCTTAAAGAATGTATTGTGGTAGATGATTCATGCATTGTGGGAATTTTCAGACTTACCTGGCACAAGACTTATGAAGTATTCATTTAAGGATCCATGTGTGTCTAACAATCTCTTATACCGTGGCCGATCTGGAATCTTACCTCAATCCCTGGGTTTTTTTCAGATTCTAACATTCTAGCATTATCTACTGTCTAGAAACTATTTTACTAAAGCATCCAGCAGCTGAGCTCTGCTAAGCTTCATGGAGCCTTGTCCTCAACATACGTGTCTTAATATTGACAAAGCAGTCACAGTGGAGACTTTTCATCCACATGCATGTCTCCATACTGACCAGCCACTCACAGAAACTTCCCTGTTGCTATGGTTCCCTCACTGTCTGCTGTCTCCCCTCTCTAGCACCCTGTGCCCAGTCTCCAGCTACCTCAGCATGACTGTGCTCTAATCTCAACTTCCTCTATATACAGAGGTTTGTGTTCTGTCTGCAAGGATGAAATACTAACTGCTGTTGTCATACGCATCTTACCCATGGGGATATTTCTTGTCACATGAGGTGAACTGAGCCCTTGTTATCCTAACATATCAGATCTTCAGACCTGATTTCTGGCTCCAAACTCTATACATTTTCAGTGTGGTGACCTTAAGCAAGTCTCTCAGTATTTTGTTTAAAAAATCCTAGAGTAAGAAAATCACTGGTTGACTCAAGCATGTAACACAAGCCTGCCACTGTTGTGTGTTTTGGTAACTTTTGTATTCATATATTCTCCCCAATGTTTTTACCCTTTCATCTTGCAAAAAATCACTGTGGTTCATCTAAATAATTAGCCTTTTCAGTATTCTTAGACCCTTTAGTGGGAAGGTTCTGACTCTTCAGATGCTTAGAATCCCACCTTGTATTCATCTCTCTGAGAACTGACTTTGAGGTATTGTGGAATTTCCAGTGCTTTTTTTTTTTTCTGTGTATACTGAGAGAAGGTTAATGACTGGACTATAAAAAATAAAAGTAATTAAAAAAGGCTAACTTTTTACTCTGGATTTCAGAATAACCAATAGTATGCTAGATACTTTAATATTTGCCTAAATGTGATTTATAGTTAAATCTTTAAGCAAGATAATAAAATGTTCAGTGGGCATAATTTCTAAAACATCAGAACTTCTTTAAAATCTATAGACCTTGACAATTACCTTAAAGTTTTTCTTAATTTTCAGGACTTTATTAAAGAATGAATATATTTAGAAATATGCTATTTATAATCTACATTAATGCAAAATAGAAATACTTTACAGAGGACATATGATGTATTTTAGATGACATACAGTTGTAACACAGCAACACCCATCACAAACACGTGAGTTTTTAAGTTGCCCCACTGATTATAAATAAATATAAATAGCTCACTGAAAATGCTCAGCAATTTAATTGAAATGCAGCATCTCTTCTGAAAAACAAAAAACATATAATTCTTGATGCTGTTAAAACTGGTCTACTCTCTAAATACATTGTTCTTGGTGCACATAATTTGCTAGGTGCTATAGATAATGGCTTTTTTTTTTTAGAATAGTAGTAGAAATTGATGAAAATAAATCCAAAGTTTGTTTTTCAAAATTGTTACTTCAATAATACCTGAACTTTGTTCTTTCAGAGTCACAATCACCCCCAAAGTATGTGTGCTGTTTACAAATCATAAAGCTACCTATATCTCCATGTATCAATATTCTTTTTACTCAGGAATAAATGTTAAATAAGTTGTTATCAAATGAAGGAAATGTTTAAGCATCCTATAAACCATGGGACTAGATTATATAAAGTGGATAAAATATCATTATCATCTCATTCTCCCATATGTGCGCGTGTGTGTGTGTTCATATTCACATGTGTCTGTGTTTAAATGTGCCTCGGAATGTGAGAGTGTGTGGGTACATATGCATATATGTGTATGCATGTGTGTGAAAGCCAGAAGACAATTTCAGGTGTAGTTCTCAAGAACAATGTCCATCTCTCTAAGATTGGGCATCCTATGGATTTGGAACACATCAGCATGGCTAGGCTGATTAGTGATCCTTCAATGTCTAGGGAACCTTCTGTCTTTGTCTTCTGTCCTCTTATTCCTAGGATCAAAACATACTTCATTGTATCTAGCCATTTTGTGGGGTCTGGGGATTGAATTTAGATCTTTATGGATATAATGCATGTACTTTGCCCATTGTTCTATCTCAACAGTAATGATGTTATCTGACATGAAATGTATTTTAATTAGAATTTAAACTCTTGAACTATTATAGAACTATATGTGGAGATTTACCATCATGAAGTCTCCCAGGCCAGTTTATCCCAGTAAGACGTATTTCCACTTAAAAAGAAAATGGAAATCTGTTTTTAGTCACAGGTATGGTCTCTATTTACCATTTAAGCTTCCACGTAATCATTATGTCTAACTAGGCTGAGCACTCCAATCAGCATTGCCTAATTTATACTTTGATTTTCAATTATCTTGCCAATACCAAATCTTCAGACCCAGGCTTCTTAAAGAGACCCTCACTATCTCATAGTTCCATATTCTACATACCCTTGCATCTCTCATATAGAGTGTAGTGGTAGGGTTTTTTTTTTTGTTGTTGTTCACTAGCACTGGTTAGGGCTTGGAACAACACGGGATGGCCTGATGAAAAGTGAAGCAAAAGCCATCTGTATTTAGGTATGAGTTTTTTCAGTGTTTGGAGACAGGTTCCTCAAGATTTCTTGTTTATGAACTCATTTTTATATGTATGTATGTATGTATGTATGTATGTATGTATGTACGCATGTGTGTTATATATGTATGTGTGTGTATGTTTGTATGTATGCGTGTATGCATGAATGCATGTATGAGTGTATGTATATATGTATGTATGTGTGCATGTGTGTGTTATGTATGTACATATGTCTACTTGTGCATCTGTGTGTCTGTGTTAATGAATGAATGTAGTGTTTATGGGAGTGGCTACATAGACCAGGAGAGCACATTGGATTTCCTAGAACTCTAGTTACAGGCATCTGTAAGCCACCCATCATAGGTAGTGTGAACTGAATTTTCATCCTCTGCAAGAGTAGTCTCTCTTAGCTATTGGGCCATCTCTTCAGCCACAGATTTTCTTAGTTTAGTTTGTATATTCATGTAAGTCAAAATAATTTTACTGATCTTTATTTCCTGAAGTTTGGTTTTCAAATAATATACTTGATTGTGATATTTCTCCAAACGGTGTTTTCCTATTATCTTCAATATATATTACTTTCATGGTAGACGGGCTGATGTTATATTGAATCTGACTGAAATATTGACCTCTTCTAAATAAAACCCACTTTAGTACACCTTACTGACTAGTTAACTTGGAATTCTTAAGAACAGCCTTCTCCAA